GCAACAACAATATAGTTGTTAATTTACTCATATGTGGCAGCCAGAGATATATCTGGAGGTTACTAGTTCACTGTCCTACTGAAACCCATGGGCGGTGTTTGTTGGTTTTTAAAATATCCGGGCTCACCATTAAAGGGTAAAACAACGAGCCACCAATACGACTATAAACGCCCCCCCCCCCTTTTTTTTTTTTTTGGCCTCGTTTTTTTTAGTGATGAAAGACTTCTTCCAGAAACGAGAAAGGTAAATCGTCTGACTTTGTTTCACTAACCTGGGTTTGCTGGTGTAAATTCCCCATTTCTTGACCCGCAGTCCAAAATTGTTCCATTGCCCAGCTACTGAACTGAGTGCTTGATGCGACACTGTAAGCTGTATATTTCAGTATTGTTTTTCCTATTGTGCCCTCAGCGGCTTTGTGTTGTGAGCTGCACTAAAAATGGCGAGGGCTGATTGTATTCGAAATGGCGTGTACTTATGCAATATGTATGCCTATTATTATTCCTTTACTGTTGACACTCAGGAGAGCCTTGTCATTTAGACATAATGGACCACGCAAGTATGGATAGATAGAATATCCGGTTACCTAAATACCAGCATCTACCTAGCACATACCAATTCTTTCACTCTATGCCTCTTCAAAACCTGACGCCGACACACTGACATGCTAATAGTACCAGGTGCAACCTGATTAAAAGTCCGACTTTATTTCCCTCTTCAGTGTTGAATATCTTCCTGAACCTCAACAGAGGACTAGAGTAGAAGAAACAGTTGGCATATTTGACAGCTGCCTCGTGTTTTTTACTTTGCATGTGCGAGCTTCAAGATTTTGTTGGGGCTGACTATTTTTTTTTCACTAGTTTTCAAATGGAACAGTGAAGGACATTTTGTTTGATTCCTACTGCCAAAGGAAGTAGCAGTTATTGGGCAACCCGTCTGCACTGAAGTTGGAATCTCAACTTGGCTTACACAGTATCATCATCATCATCATCAACAACATCAGCATCATCGTCATCAGCATCATGATCGTCATCATTATCACCATAATCGTCATCGTTGTCATAGTCCTATAACAAGTCCTATCGTTGGGTTGCCAGTTGTCGTTGACTGATACAGTCCCCTCCGCCTCTGTCAGTCAAATTCAACGAACTTATTCATGTTTACATGTTTGAGGTTTGCCCAAATCAGCCATCTTCATTATCCATAACCTGTTTATACAGTTTTTTTAATACATTTATCCGCTGTTCCCCCCTCCCCCGATTATGTTCAATTGCTTGGCACAATAATCTCGCATGCTCTTCATTTGCTAACTTTCAACAACAGCAGTCAACCGAATACCTGCAGCGGACATCTTGTGTGTGGACGATCCCCATTTGTTTTGTGTGTTCGACCTCTTTGTGTTGTCTCCCTTGTGATTCAACATTTCCCCAATGCCATCCATCTTTGTATATTTGACACAGGTGGGGGCCGGGTTAAATAAATGTTTGCCAGTTTGTTCTGGCCTCCTCCTCCGGCTGCAGTCTTACGGCACGTGAGCCTAGAACAACGTGACTTGAACGGACAGTTTTTGTAAAAAAAAAAATTCTATTTCTATTTACGCCCTTTCGTGTCAACTTTTACTATTTACCCCCCCCCTCCCCCCCTTTTTTCTAACTTTCTCTGCTATCTCAGTCTGCTTTTAATAATACTGTACCTTGCACGCAACTGCGGGATTCAAATATAAGCCTAATAAGATATATATATATATATTAGGGCCTCATAATCTACAGGGGCCTAAAAACTCCTTTTGTTTTCACAAAAGAAAATTTCTGTTAATATATTATGATACAATTTTATTTTAAATATTTTCAAATTGTTGCTTTGAATGTTTATTTCACTGAACACAAAAATAACGGTATTTCACAAATAACAATACATTAACAACCAATATCGTCTTCCCAAATGCGATAAGCACCTCATCTAGCAAAGATACAAATTCGCTTCTGAAATCAAATATCATCGAGTGATGATACACACTGATATATCTTTTCACACAGTTTAACTACTAGAGACACATTCAGATGTAACTATGATGGAAATTTATATCTAACAAAAGTCATACTACGGCCATGAAATCAATCAGTCTACCGTCGGTCGATCGCCAAACCCACGATGCTATGCCTATGTGGGTGCAGTCGCCGCTGGGTGGGAGATCCTGTCCCCGGGCGACCGCCGCGGTCAGAATGCGGAAAGCTGAATAGCCAGTTTTCCGGGTGCATTGGCTTTTTATCAACTCTTGATCTGCGCGCCAGATTTGTCCCCTAAGTGGAGCTAGACAAATAAATCGTGACCGGCATTGGCCACCTGGCTACATTAAATATTTAAAAAGCGTATATATTTTAGTTTTTTTTTTCTTCTGAGTATCTGGTGTAATTTCAAACAGTAGGGGCCTCAGGGCTTTACATAGCTTAAGGCTTCATTAACTCTAAACCCGACCCTGGTTAAGGCCCTTTCTTATAAATTAATTACGTAGCAGCACTAATTTCACAAAAATACCCTGTTCAACCCTGAGGGTTATCATTGGATATTGAGGTGTTTATGAAGTCTTCAAGGAATGTATTTATTTTATTTACTTTGAGACTATTTTTTTAAGAAATGAGTGTAATTTGTATTATTTAAAATATTAACTTGCTAACCTTTTAAGTTAACAATTACGATAGAAGTTTTGCAATGAATGTTTAGATGTTCGTAATAACACTGTGTCATTAAAACAGTAGATGTGTGATGACCCTTCATATAGTCGCTTTAATAGTAATATTGATGTCCTCAACTGTACAGATAACAGGATTATGTTTTCCTCATAATACTTTTTTTAATGCGCACATCTTTTACCCTGCCATACGCTTTTTTTTAAAACAATAATATTATTGATGTTCATAATACATGTCACCAAACTATTGGTAATTCTTGCATGTATCGATCTATTCTTTCTTCCCTTGCAGTGATTTATTGTTAGATTATTGAATCACGTACTTGCCTAGTCACCCCAACAGTGGTGTTTTCGAATCCTCTTCAAGTTGTTGAATAATTCTATCTATCTACAAATCTGCAGTGGAACAGGGGCGCTGCGTCAACAAAATCATGGAAGGGGGAACTGGGCAGTGCGGGTCACAACCGCTTTATAATTTTCAAGGAAGTGGGAGAAGACGCTAATTAGGCTTAAATCTTGTTTAAGTGCGCAATAATACGAATAATAATAATGATGTGCATTACTGAACCAAATTTTTTTTTTTCAACAAATGACAATGTATAAATGGCTAAACGATAACGCCCGTACACAGAAGCGTGGCCAGGTTTTTGACGCCCATAGCAGAGGGTTCAGAATATTTTTGTAGCTGGCTTTCGTTTTTGTCACTTCTAATAAAATAATCGAGTAAAAGCAGATACTGAAAAGACGAATCTTCACTTATAACAACGTTATTTCAGTTCTAACAACGAAAGTTAAGTGCGTTTGACAATAAATGTGTGAGAAAAATTATGAACATAAAATGTAATGAATTTAACACACACAAAAACAAAAAACAAAAACAACAACAACAAAAGAGTGAGGAGATCAGAGAAATTTTGGACAAATATCTCTATCTACTGCAAAAAAAAAAAAGACAAAGGTAGAGATATATTGGGCACACTCTGCGACGAAATGAGCACACTGTTACAAAACAGGAACTGAAACAGGAAACAGTCTGATAGAGAAAACATACGACCTCCAAGGGAAACATTAAAAAGAATATTATTACGAGAGGCTAAAAATGCTGGGCTGAACTCTGTGTCAGAAATCAAGAGAGTTGAATGCAGTAGAGCGGAGTGGAGGAATCAAGTGCGAGCCCTGTGTGACATCTAACTGCACACACAGAATGATGATAAATAAAACCGAAAGTATATTATTTCGAAGAAGAACAACTAAAATAGTATATATACTGGAGAAATGTTATTCGTCGTATTAGAAACTTGTACTGGATACTGTTTCACAAATGATGTCTGGCCAGACTCCGAAACGCAGTTTTTTGTTTATTAGAGTAAGCCGTGCTGATCAGATGTCATTGCTTATATTTATGAAGGGCGACGTCCTTCTAACCTCCTTCAACAACATGAAACTCACTACGGTCCCTTCAGATGAGACCCTGCCACTTTAAAACAAGTCATTTTTAGCGCCCCCTTCAAGTGGCACCCAGGGAAACTTGCCTTACTTGCCATACTCTAGGTACGCCACTGTCTATACATGGTTTAAGGGGACCACATAGCTCCCCTTAATTTTCTAGAGGGTTGAAGAGTGGGGAGCTCGGCCCCCTAAAACTAATGGGGCAAGGGCTCTCAACCCCTGAAAATTTGGTTTAGGAGGGTCTCAGTGGGTTTAAACCCTCAGGTTCGGGCGCCTTTGCAAAAGAAGTAGAATGATCAGAAACTTTATGCTAGTATTAGCATCTGATAACCATTCATGACATGGCGGTTACGTTAAACAACCTTGTTTTTCATTCAACAGGTGATCCAGTAGACAGAGCATTGAGATCTACAGAATGGAATCTACAAAATAAGATTTATCTGATAAATCGTTCTTTGGTTACTCTTTCGTTTGATTGGCTATTTCGATCAAGTGATTCGTCATTTTGAAACCGCGGATTTTTCCAGTTGTGTTTTCGTATTAATGAAGACAGTGTTGGGGTAGGACTTCACTCGCAGGATTCATATTCTATAAACACGGATAAATCCATGAGGGTCTGGGTCTTGTAATATGCTATATTAGACCAGCAAAGTTTCACCACAGTGTTTGGATATCGTTAGTTGAAAGCTTTCAGCTATAATCGTTCCGTTGCTGCGTCAGTGAAAATCACACAAGCGTAAGGCGGGCTAATGATCTAGCAGTGGGCCAGGCTTTGGCAGAGAAAACCCCGATTTGAGAGGTGCCTGGGCGCGTGGCAGCACGTGCGCAGACCTTCGAAATCGCCACCATTGCGTCATCAAATGGGATGACGTCGATGACTGAGTTCCTGGAGAAATGCCACGAGGATGAACTGAAAACCAGCTTCGACGTTCTAGGTAGGTCTACCCTCAAGTTTGTCTGTACTGTTTGTTTCGTTTCAGGCTTGGCTAGCAGTTGACTGAATGAATCAGTTAATCAATCAGTCAAGAATTGACATCTCTGCACTTGGGACGTTCCCACAAGTGCTTTGTCCCCTTCTTTAGTAGCCAACGAAGATTGGACACGCCATTCGTACTAGTTGCAACCTAATTAAAAGTCCGCATCTGTTTTCCATTCAATGTTGAATATCTTTCAGATCCTCTACACCCCCCTCCCCATTTTTAATGTCTTTCAGTTCATGGATTCCTTATCTGTTCTATTCTACTGTCGATTTGATCCTATAGATCCTTCGCCAAATCCGCTTCATCATAAAGTAGCTCACCGTCCAGAGGGGCGGCAGTTAAAGTTGTTTCGTTAAAATCTTCTTTCGCTTCAAACCTGCTTATACTGTTTATTTAGGTGGAAGAACATTCAGTACATAATTATTATTATTTCCCGTGTGGGTTCCTGGGCCCTCGTTGTGAGGAAAACAAAAATAGACCCACCCCCCCCCCCCCCCCCCCCCCACACACACAAGCATGTCACAGGACATCACGAGAAAATCGCTTGCAAGTTGATTCATGAAAAGTTGAACGAACTATAGCTTCGATCCGCGGGTCACTTGCTGAACCTCCGTGGGCCACTTGCTAAGCCTCCGAGGGCCAATCTGGCCTGCGGACCGCCAGTTGAATAGCCCTGATTTAGGCTATATGCTGTCTTGGATTTTGAGCTTTATAACATGTTGCCTTTAGGCTAACTATTGTCTAGGATTTTGAGCTTTATAACATGTTGCCTTTAGGCTAACTATTGTCTTGGATTTCAAGCTTTATAACATGTTGCCTTTAGGCTAACTATTGTCTTGGATTTTAAGCTTTATAACATGTTGCCTTTAGGCTAACTATTGTCTTGGATTTTGAGCTTTATAAAATGTTGCCTTTAGGCTAACTATTGTCTAGGATTTTAAGCTTTATAACATGTTGCCTTTAGGCTAACTATTGTCTTGGATTTTAAGCTTTATAACATGTTGCCTTTAGGCTAACTATTGTCTTGGATTTTGAGCTTTATAAAATGTTGCCTTTAGGCTAACTATTGTCTTGGATTTTGAGCTTTATAAAATGTTGCCTTTAGGCTAACTATTGTCTTGGATTTTGAGCTTTATAAAATGTTGCCTTTAGGCTAACTATTGTCTTGGATTTTGAGCTTTATAAAATGTTGCCTTTAGGCTAACTATTGTCTTGGATTTTGAGCTTTATAAAATGTTGCCTTTAGGCTAACTATTGTCTAGGATTTTGAGCTTTATAAAATGTTGCCTTTAGGCTAACTATTGTCTTGGATTTTGAGCTTTATAAAATGTTGCCTTTAGGCTAACTATTGTCTTGGATTTTGAGCTTTATAAAATGTTGCCTTTAGGCTAACTATTGTCTAGGATTTTGAGCTTTATAGCACATTGCTGATTAGGGGTGAAAGTTTTTATTTTTTAGTGTGACGCCTTTTCTAACTTTCTCCAGCAATATGAAACTCATTGTGGTCCTGCCAGATGAGACGCTAGTCTTTAAAAACTGAGCCTCCCACCCCCCCCCCTCCCCCAATCCCTTTCAAGTGCCGCCCAGTGCATCTATCCTACCTACCATACCCTAGTTATGACACCGAATCTTCATGGAATCAGTCAAAAAACACACATGTGAAAAAAATAGCTGTATCTTGCAGACAAGGTTCCAGAAAGTGCATTGACACAATGTAGACGGACTAACCTGCTACAGGTATCCCTGTCTGTCTTTGACATTCAATCTTACTTTGCAGACTCGAACCCTAGCCCATTCAAATTATTCCACAGATGGCCTCCTCAGCCATGACAAGGAGGACCTGGTGGAGAGGGTAGCGTACTTGGAGAACAAGGTCCACCAACAGCAGGATGAGATCGTGTGTCTCAAGTCTGCGGTGGCTGACATCATCCGGAGACTGAGCTCCGTGGAGGCAGGTAGGTGGGCAGCACTGAGATGTTGTCTTTGCTGTTGCTATTAGCTACAGTAATAGTATCTGTTTTTCAGAGATTCTTCTCTCCCATCTTATTCTGCTGAAGTTATGACTACAACAGCAATTATTTCTGTTGCTACCTTTGATTCTGCTTCTGTTCATAGTTCTTCTTTCGTGCTTTGGTTTTGCTTTTCATTCTTTTTCTCATCTCATCTTATTGTATCGAATCCTAACTCTTTTTTTGGTCGTATTACATGTTCTTTTTATAAATTCTTTCTTTCTTATTTTACAGTATATTCATTCTTTATTATTATTATTATAAAAATGATCATCATTGTCGGCCATTTATTAATTATTAGCCGGTTACGAACTTGTTAATTTTGTTTGTTATTTATTAGTATTGTTGTGTGTAAAGTTCTTGGATGGCTCCTTATAGACGAGGTAGGGCGTTATACCACCTGTCACTGATGAGGTCTTTGTGGCGAAGTAGTTGAAGCTGTTACCTAACACGCTGAAGGTAGTTGGATTCAGACCTGCTCGTGAATGCAAACGTTTCTGTTCACGGGATTTTCACTGAAACTCTCTAATTCCATTATCTGTGGTTTTTTTTTTCTTTATTTCTTGTACCCTGTGGTTTTCAATGCAAGAACATTATAGTTGTATAGCTATCAAGTTCTAGATTCTAGATTCACTGCAGTTTAGTTCGCTCTTAAAGCTCCACATCCACGTCTGTGGCTCAGACGTTGCAAAAAGGCTTCGTGATTCCGAGGTGCCAGGTTCGATTTCGGCTGCAGGCGATTTGGTAGCAGACCGCCTTGTGTTGATTCCGACAGCAGTAACGAGAGCCGACTGTTTAGTAGCAGTGGCAAACTACTGAACGTGTAATTGCCTAGTAAAACCAAAACAGCCAACAAATAGTCACTACAGAAATGAAATGTTTACGTACTATGCTAGGTGTAACGAGGAAAGATCGACTTAGGAACGATGATATCAGTACGAGAGTCGGCACAGAACCAATACTGAACGTTACAGGGAGACAACAAATCAAATGGTTTGGCCATGTAACAAGATTGGCATCAGACAGGGCACCACTGAGAGCAATGTTATACAGATACAACGGTAGCAGAGCCAGATGTCGACCACGCAGAATATGGATCGAAGAAATATCAGAGACACTGAAGAGTACTTTATAGGAAGTGAACAGAAAGACCCTTTCCAAAGATCTATCCCTGCCCTGACGCCGCGAGGCGTTCCATGAGTAGAGAACAGAACGAAGAAGAAGAAGAAGATGATATGTTGGCATTAGTTCTGAAGTTCCTCTAAACGATACGCAGCGAACTAATTAAACTCAACATCAGTGATGCTCTCATATAAATTAATTCCTTATATTCTGCACAGACACCATTTAGTGAATGTCTGTAGTGTGATACATTATGCACAATGAAAAAGATCTTTTCATTTACCTCCACAGTCACCCACAACAATATGATTGCCAGCCGAACTCACAGCAGACCCACCCTCACCAGACCTCGTTCTATGGCAGCACTGCCCAGCTCCAGAAACAAGAGTCATCTTAACGCCCTCGATAACGTCAACGTGATGTCTCGGCGCAACGCGCCCTCGTCGTCTGCACGAGCACCGCCCAAAAGCTCTCGCCATTCCCCGGCCCACAGCCTAAGCAAGTGGTCTTCTTTGGCGACCTCGGCAGACATGTCCAATTCTCTGTTGACCCCTACCTCGTGAGTAATTTTTTTTTTAAATTCATAACAGGGCTGGTAGGAGCGATGTCGGGTTTATATCCACTTGAAGTTTCTGAATTGTTGTGGTTTTCTTCTTCTTCTTCTTCTTCTTCTTCTTCTTCTTCTTCTTCTTCTTCTTCTTCTTCTTCTTTTTCTTCTGCTCCTCCTCCCTCTTCCTCTTCTCCTCCTCCTTCTTCTTCTTCTCCTCCTCATCCTCCGCCTCTTCCTTCTCCCCACTATCCTTTTTCATATTCCCTTATCCACTAATATAGGCCCTGCAAGCAACTCACGATAAGTTGTCTTATCTGTTGCGATCTCCAGCCGCGCACTCAGGATAAGTTGTCTTATCTGTTGCGATCTCCAGCCGCGCACTCAGGATTTTTTTTTATTATTCATCCCCAAGTCTGATTGCTCTGTCCCTATGTTGTTACTATCCAATTATATCTCCAGTTTTACAGAATGCGTTTTATAGGGAGAGAATCGACTTTATAGAGTCAGGTTTTGTCCTAAATAACTCGGACTCTCTCTGCTTGGTCATTAGTTAGGCGCGATAATTTGGCATAACGCACGAAATCCAAAGCTCCAGCAACAACAGTCCACATCCAAAATCGAACCAGCAACCTTCAGAATACAAAATAAACGGAGACCTTCAGGTTTGTTCGAATTAAGGTCATGCGTGGTACCTTGTAGCAACTCCACCTTAGAAACAAGAAGACTTTCGCGTCAACGTAAGTACTGTGAATCTGCAACCATGTTCAGACTGCAAGAATGGCAAGTTAAAATGGCGTGTGGCCAAACAAGAGTACTACACAGGAAGCCAAAGGAGAATAAGAAACCAACACAGGACAGGTATCGTCAGCTACTACCCGCTGCAGGATATACTAAGGAGTGGATCCGAGCACTTGCCAATTGAAGGCTTCGATTTGCACTGGGGATAATTTGTTGCCTGATCAGTTAACTCCACATTTGACCTCTCGACCTTGACATCTCATCTGTCCCAACATCTGCTGAACCATGGCGACGGCTCCGATTTCCCATAGCTACGCCACCACACTGGCAATGTTCCGATTATTCCTTGCTGCATCCACAACCACCAGGATCTCCCGATCTTTCCTATTTATAGTGCCGAGACTATCGATTGCTGAACTGCCCCAACAAGGTGACCTAATCAATTTCCCAGGCGCCTATTCTAAGCACCTCACAGACTTTGTCGTCTGCGCTTTTAGATTCAACTTACATTCCCTAGTGGTTTTTCTAGAAATCGAGGCTCTATAAACTGCATGATCTCAGTTCGATCAATCTAATACCAGCAATGGATTCGGCAGAACAGTAAGTTTTCAATTTGTATTTTTCTTAGGGTTTGCATTGTTGCCTGTTTTTTGTTTTCCACATTCTGAGGGGTAGTTTTTTCACGTGCATTATTTTTATGCTGGATTAGGGAGCTGCCTGGTCTCTAAGCATGGTGTCCGCCTCGAGAGCTAGAGGTTCCGGGTTCAATCCCCGGGGGAGGGGGTGAGAATAGACTTCACTATATGCCTCCCAATCAAGCATGTCGTATGTGGTAACTAATTAAAGATGTTTCCTCCGAAGTTGGAGTGCATCTATCTGAGCTAAGTTGGGTCAAGAATTGACGTCGCCGCACTATTGGCATTCCCATACATGCTCCATCTTTATCTTCAGCAGCCAGCGCAGAGTTTCAAGGCTAATGGTACCAGACATAATCTGATTATATGTCCATCTTAGCTTTCCTTTCAGGCAGTGAGCCGGTCAGATTTTCTGGTCACACCCAGGTGCATCATTTTCTCCAGGCCATAATCTACTTGAGAGTCGAGGGACCAACAGTCTGCATACAAATAAGCCACATATGTAAAACGGATGTGCACGCACAATTGTAGGGATGGGGCAAGACTAAAATCCAGTTATGGGCGAACAACCAAAATTTTCCGCCAGATTCTGCAGCCGGTCAACATTAAGAAGGATTGAGATGAGAGGCAGTTGACCCTAATGTGTTGATTTAGTCTTTAACAGCCTGACAGCATGTACCAGACGACGGGAGAATATTCCTTTCATTATTTACTATGAATTTAAAACAATCGCGCAGGTAAAACTTGTTTCAAGCAATATTTGCTTGTTTCACTTTCATAGAAGCCAGTCTCTGCTTTGTTTTATCTGTGTATTCATAAACTAGCGCATACAAAGGGGAAATGACTCGCATTCAGTATGTGTCTGCTGCAAGGGAAAGCTAGTTTTATCTAGAAACAAAAATGAAAGAAAGGGAAAGGGAATTAGTCACCTCAATTTGTACACACCGCCCTGTCATAGTATCTGTAGATAGGACTGAGGATTGTGTGGAAAAGGAACCTGGTCCAGGTATTGGTAAGAGCAGGTATCGCAGCAGTTTTTCCAGTGCTCAAGTCTTTGAAAGCTTATATAGCTAGAAGACACTTGGAGGATAGAGGATGGTAGAGGCCCTCAGAACATCCTCAGCAGTGAAATACAGTTGTGTAGAAGGTGTCGAGGTCGGCTAACACTTTAAAATTAAGGGGAGTGCAAGCGGGAAATGAATGATACAGTTATTGAGGAGGACTTTGGGAGCCGGATGTCTTGGACCGTGTTGATTGGAACAGAAAAATCAGGAAGGAAAGAGGGTTAAAGAAAAAATCATTGCAGACAGGTTACGGGCTGAGTGTTTAAGTAAAAGCTAATGACCCTTAGTGCTGAAATCCCTTGTCTGATTCTAGAAGACCATTTTAACGCGAGCTGGTCTGGCTAGTGACACTTGCCATCGCCATGGACCAGTGTTGCCACTTTTCTTTGGAGAAAAAAAACGCATCCAAAACGGAGTCAAAAAATATATAAAAACATATCAATTTGCGTGAAAAACTTCTAGAAAAAACAGCAAAATGGAAAGAGTCACAAATTACATAGCCATTGATATGACTTACCCTATAGAATCATGTCCTCATCTTTACTGAAGACTGCCTTACAAGATCCACAGGATAAACTTAGCCTGGATGATGAAGTTGAAGCTTCAAATCCTAAATGACTCTGGTATGCTTTCGCTGTTCCAATTTATTTTAATACACAATCAGGGAGCTGATAAGTGGAACAGCCTTTTCCTTCTCTTATTCGACAAAATTTTATTGTCAAGATAGCATTTAAGAGGTCAAATTTCATCCTGCTTTTTATGTTAGATTTGATAAATTCAATCCAAATGAAAAACATATAGAAAAGCATCTACCATCTAAATGTCAAAAATGCCAGCTAAATGCAAGGAAAAACATCTAAATTTGGATGTAAAACATCCAAAGCATGGACTGTGATTCTTGTGTTTCCGTTTGGTGCAAAATAACAATATTGTCTAGAAAGACGGAAAGATGCCAACGGTTTTATCTATATAATTATTCACACAAACACTCACATACACTTACGAGGCCTCTTTTTTAAATAGCAAAATAAGGTACCTGTCATCATCAAATGCTTTGCCGACTGGCGTGTATCAGTTCGTATGTTCACACCTCCCTGCAATGAGAAAAGACTCAAGAATCTTTTCACGCTGTCTTCCTCTGTCCCTTTTTCCACAGATCCTTCCAGTGGTCGCATGTTCCATTTTTTCTCTTCTCATAACATGACCAAAACACGATGACTGTCTCTTTCTGATGTTTGTGATAAATTGTTTTAAAGCACTCGCCTCATCTGAGTTGCTCTTCTTAGCTGCCCAAGGAATTTTAAGGATTCTTCTGTAAAACCACATCTCTGAGGTCTCAAGTTTTGATTCTCAAGGTAGCGATACTAGCCAAAAACTGTCTATTACAGTAGGAATGCTTAGAAAATGTACCGATTATGTTTACCTCCAGGAAAAGCCTGGTGTGTGTGTGTGTATATATATATATATAATATATTATATATATATATATATATATATATATATATATATAGATATATATATATATCTATAGATATATATATATATATATATATTCTACAATATAATAATACATATAATTCGCAATAAACACAGATATAGTATTATGTAACAATGAAGGAAAAACAGGCGATATAGAAACTGATTTTTAAAAAAACTTGTTGTGGGGTAACGAGAACTACGATTCTGTCATGCACGTATTTGACCCGTCAAGCAAACTCACGCACAGCCCGTGACTCACATGTGGATGCAAGTTTCTAAAAACGTACAGTTGACCCACTTTTCACTTTGTGCGTTTGTACATTTTAATCTAACTGGCATGTACCCTGCCTGGTCCAAGTCAGAAGTCAGCTGTTTTTTAAAAATTTTCTCACATCTTTAAAGGAAAAAAAATGCTCCCTAAACTAAAATGTGTTTTAACATGACTAGTTACAAATATAAGAAAATAAGTTTGTATATATTTGTTAACAGTCTGATAAAGACGTTAGGGAATATTTGGAAACATGATTACGTGTTACTTAAAAAAAAAATGTATTTCCCTAATTCAGCATAGTATTTCCCACACGGAACGCGCGTCTGTGTGAAAGTGAGTGTTGGCGAAGGTTTTCTAGCCACAGCTTCTATTCTGTCACTTATGACTGTGTTCTGATGTAGCTGTTAGTTGGTACCTTTCCGTCTTTCCTGAAGATAGTGTTATATCATGCTGTGAGGAGGCATGGGACTCACAACCCATGGCGAAGGCGAGTGTGACAGGATTTCAAAGTTGTTGTTGCTGTTCCATGTATTGTGTGTGCTTCTTTTCAGACGCTCGGCTCTTATCCTTTCTGCAATCATGTCTTTCTTTCATTCTCAATTCCTTCTTATCCCTCCCCAACCACCCACCCCCTCCCCCACGCAATACGGTCTATGGCATTATCTTTCCATAAATCTACCAGAATACCTGTACCATTCATGTCCCGATTGCACACATCTTTATATCGTAGTTGAGGTAAACCTCAAAACATTCACCATAGAGGACCTCCTTAGTGACTTTGCCATCCTTCATACTCCAGGTGCGACCCAGCCGCCTGAGCCT